AATGACCAGTGCACCACTTGAGGAAGGGGAGAAGACAGTGGTGATGTTTGCATTCAAAGGGGGCAACTCCAGTTAGGGTAAACATCTGCCTTTCCCTCACAGATTTATAAGAATTAAGTTTATTTTACCGGAGGTGTCATTTGGATACCTCCAGTAAAAGCACAACCAGTCTCACATGAATGTAATAATGTGGCTCTCGTTCATGTTGATGCTTTGTCTCTCAGTTACTGAAGTAATGAAATGTCACTGAACACCTTGAACCAAATTTGGGAGATGGGGTGATTTTCTGCAGTAACACTAAGCTGCTAGGCTTTATTTCAGAAACTTCAGCTAGGCATGTCAAAGTAATCTCTTTACCTCAAGGATCCCTTTTGCTCTGCTTAAAATATTCCTAACCAAAGAACCATTAACACACATCAAATCATTTTAATAGGGTACAAAAACGTGCATGAAAATATTTGCCAAAGAATAACAGAACACACTGTTATAGGAAATAGGCAGATACACTTTGCCCAGGGTAGAATAGTGCCATGATACTGTTACAGCATGTACACTTGACTTCTGTTGTGCATTACTCGTCTAATAATACTTCATTAAATGCTCAGTCAGTTTTGTTTTTCCACATCACCAACTCAAAAATGCTGTCCCCTTTAAATGAAGTGGAAGCTGTAGCTGAGTACCATTTCTACACAGCACTGGGTTAGTTATTTATGGCTAGAAATAAACATTTAGAAAATGCTACTGTATCTATAGAAACTCGGTGAAGACAAGACTTTAGATTTTGAAGACACAGAAAAGGCTATATAGGAGAACATTTTCCACTGATTTTCACTGGTGAGCTGATTAATACTTTTGGATGATTCAAGGATCCTTTCACATGACACAATTGTAGCACCATCATTCCACTTTAAAAGCTATTGTTCCATCCTGTGGATTTTTTATATCTGAAGTTCAGGAAGGGATATTTAAAATTCTTAAGACAGAGACCTCCTGTACCTCCCCAAAATACAGACCTCAGGACTGCATAAGACATTGCTATTAGAGTTGTGCAGGTTTTTGTTTTTTTACAAATGGACTCCAGCTGGTTCAGCCCTTTCAGCCAGCCATAAATAACAGCACAAGCTCAGCCACCATTTTTTTCTGTAACAGACCACATGGATGCCAAAACTACTGCTTTCTCTTTCTTTTGGTTACACATGGAGCACAGAGTGATGAGCCCTGCCTGTTGAGCCAATCAGAACAGAAGAAAGTTATGACGTGCCTTTTAACCAAGCTTGGCTTCCATTTTTCTGTTGTGAGACAGATTGGTAAACTAAATTCTTAGTGCTGCTCACAGCTCAGCATGGCTTAGCTTGCATTTTGACTCAAATAACAATAAATAAGCAGTCTACTTTCGACACACTTAAGAAACTACCATCGATGGTGCCCTACACGAGGCAAGTTTCAAATGTGGGGTAGAGGATGTATCTTACCATTTCTAAAGCTGCCATAAAATGAGGAGGTAATTTATAACTTTTTTTAAAGAATGGCTAATGATCCTTCAAGTGGTGTGGCTCCCACTGAAATAAGTGTTTAAAAAGGCTGCCTCCCTTAACTCAGCTTCATTGAAATGGTATTGAGGGCAAATGATCCCGGAAAGGGTGGTTTCTTATACCAGCTTGAAGAGCTTTCCACCCATATGATGGGGGGAAGCCAGGACGGTGTGCCAGGCCTGTAGCCAGGGAGGGGGTTTTAGGGGTTCAAGCCCCCCCCCCCAAATTTTTCAGGTTAAAAAAAAACCTGATTTACTCATGAATTTTAACTGGTTAACCAAATCCCCATGCAAAGTCTATGAGATGCAAAAAATTAAGAGTCCCTCCAGAATAAGTTGTCAAGCAAATATTGACAACTTATTCACACTGTCATTACTTGCAGCAATAGCCGATGTAGTGAAGCAACCAAGTTGTGGGGAGGGGGGGATGTTGAATTCTCTCATTAAGGAGGCCAGACTTGGTGGAGGTGGTTGACAGGTGCGGAGCTGCAGGCTAATGAAGGCTGCTCTGCCCCTGCAGATGTGCTCTTTGCTTCAATGTGACCTAACCCCCCCCCCCGCTGAAATTTTCAACCCCTCCCCCCAAATTTTCAACCCTCCCTGAATTTTTTTTCTGGCTACGGCCCTGCAGTTTGGGCCACCTCTGGCAATGTGAAACTCAGGCTGAGGAAAGAAGGGAGAATGGAGGGAGACATTGCTAGGCATCAAAACCTGAACCCAGCTGGCTTGAGGCTTGAAGCAGCTTATGAAAGAAGGGTGAGTGAAAGAGAAATAGTTGGGTCTCCCTTTTAAAAGTCTGAACCCAGTCAGCTTACTGAGGCTTAGACTTCACTCCATGTGATGAGGGGAATAAGGAGAAACCCTGTATGGGACGGGGCACGGGACCAGCACCACCGATGGTATGTGTGAAGAGGTCCAAGGAGAAAAGATCCCAGAAAGGATGGTTTCTTAAGACTGATGCCCTAAAGTGATGGAAAGGGGAGCCTTATAAGTTCCCCATTACCACCAATGGGCTGGATTTTCCCAAATTATTTGGTTGCTGGATCAAAAATGGATTTTTTTCCCGAATGAATTCAGGGGGCTTCTGTAAAATGAATCTGGGGGCCCACCAAATCCAGATACCAAAAACATAATGGGTTTAACTGAACTGCACACCCCTAATTGCCATGGCTATTAAAGATAAATTGCTGTATTCTAATTGTATCATGTGAAAAGGACACTGCTTTACTCAAAAAACCCAAAATAGCCTGTAAGATTCCACCCATTCCCTTTTTATTCTTGTTTTTGTTACAATCATTTCAAAGGATCTTCTATATTCTTAACAAAAATGATACTGCTTTCCCCCTTTCAAACAGAACAAGTGGAACAAATAAGCAAATAAGCTGCTAAAGGATTCTATTCAGTGTTAGTAAAGGCAAACAAATTAAGAAGGCATTATTTACACTTGAAAAAACAGAAATGACATCAGGGTGAGTTAATATTACAAACTATTAATGAAAGACACACTAAATGAAACAAATCACATAATAGATCATAGCAAAGTGATTCTATGTAATGAATACTGATACCAGCTGAACACATCTGTGCACTTGGAGGATACAATTTTAAATGTATTTCAGTACATACTCTAGCTATGTGTCCTGTTGCTCCTTTGAAAAAAAACAAAGAAAAAAACTCTTCAAGAAAATTAAATTAACTCGATTTTCTTTCTCATTCAAAATAAAGGTCTTTCAGTTTATGGCTATGAGACAGATCTAATCTACAGGGAAGATTAGATCTGTCTCATAGTCTTGAAAATCTTTGATAAGTTTCATTTTTTGCTTGGAATGTTATGTTTAAAAGTTAATTTGGTAATATTTAGTGTTAGAAACAGATACACTGGTGTATTGCTACCAACACTAACAGTCATAAAACAACTCCGAATGTGCCAATAACAAAATGTGTTCTTAGAATCAACAGTGGCAATGTTTTACTTCGGAGCCATTTGATCTAAAATTGAATTCTTTCAAAGTGTACCAGATTTAGAATTCAGATTCCTAACTATTCAATAAACATTTGGATTCAAAAATGCAAACAGTGAGAACAGACTTTTGCTGGCTGCACTTTTTTTCCAGGTTCATATAATGTAGATAAAAGTCAATAAAGTCTGATTGGCTACAACATGTCAGTAGGGTGCAATACTTTGTTTGTGATACCTTGCATAGGTCTCTTTTTGGACTGTATGCAAAGAGTCTGGTTTTTTGAACATATCCACTTCTACTCCTCACAGCTGTCAAGCCTCAGGAGGTGCCACAACTGCTGTTGATACGTACTGGTGGGGAGATAAAGTAGCATGGAGGCAATTCAAATGTGGATGAATGAGGAATGGACCTGTCTCACAAAGAGAGTGCAACCCTTAGAGATGCATCAATTGTGTTACCTTTCCACTTTGTCCACTTTCCACTAACATTTCACTGCTTGGGGAGTGATTTTTGGCTTTGCACACACATCTATGGACTAGAATCTTGCCCTCTTTCCAAAAAGTCATTCTGGCCTAAATCTGCTGGTTCTGAGAGGCTATTCCCACCCCCATCTGTTTCCCCTTCTACTGCATAGTGCAACAGCAGGATTTGGGCTTGTGTATTATTCCCTATATATATGACACAATGTCCTGTACACCTGTATTGCCTAAAAAACACAAAGCAGTGGTTCCCAAGCTTTGGTCCTTCAGTTGTTTTGGACTTCAACTCCTAGAAATTCTAGCCATTTTACCGAATGTTAGGAATTGTTGGAGCTTAAGTCCAAAACACTCAGAGGACCAAAGGTTGTGAGGCACTGTCCTAAAGGCATCAGATTCTATTTGATCTTGGAGGCTAGCCAATGTTAGCCCTCATAATACTTGGATGATCAATGAATACCATGTGTTTAAGTTATATTTTAGAGGTAGGAACTATTAAAAACTACTTTTGAATATCCCTTGCCTAAGAAAACCCTATGGAATTCATAAGGTTGCCACAAATCAACAGGTGATTTGAAGGCAAGTTCACAGACATACATACATCTGTACATCTGTCATTTCCAGTGACAGTCAATGAAAAATTCAGAGATTTGGATTTCTGGATGAGATGACCTCCAATCAGCCTGAGCTGAATCATTTCCAGATCCCCTAAAACAGGTCTGCATAGGATCTTGTGGTTGGTACGTATATGTTCCAGCATTTTTACATATCAACTACATTGATTTGTTCACTGAGAAACCTTCATATTGACTGAGATCATGTGGAATCGTGTATGATTGTGATAAAATTCTGTGGTAATACTGGGAAGGTGTTTTAATGAATATGTAAAAAGATCAACTTTAAGACAGGTATATATATCACCAGACAGCAGATTACAAAAAAATCATTCTTTCTTTTCCTTAGTGGGAAAAATACCACAGACCCTACAGATATTGTAAAAGGATAGGTTACATTTACAAAATTGCACTGCAACATGAGTTTATTTCTGCTTGGATAAAAGTGTTAACAGTTTTCAGTAACATTCTTACAGGAGTACTAAAATGTGATGGACTGTTTTGATATTTCTTCATGATAATTAACAGTTCTTTCACAATTAGGAAATACAAATGAACCAAATCAATTTGAAGGAGAAAAGGAAATATGTTGAAACAGGATTCTCAAGACAACATAATTATATGTAAAGTTGCACTACAGAGCGTCCATCACTCTCATCTTCAGGAAGCCACCTGATGAATTAAAAACAATTTTGGTTAGAAGAGAAGGTACATTAGATACCCACCCAACTATATAAAATCTCCATGAAGGCCTCAATACAACCATGTTTCTAATCACACAATCATGGAGTCATAGAATCAGAGAATCTTATGGAAGTCCCTGAATAAAGATAGTGGTAATCAATGAAGTCACAACTCAAAATTATTAGTTCAGATTTTGCAATTGCCATTTTCAGTTTTATTGTGTTAGGGGAAAAGGTTTGAAAACAGAGAAAATAGAAAGATTTGACATGGTTAGTAACCCATTTAAGCAGATGAATTGCATTTTAGTAAGGTTGTTGTAGGTTTTTTTGGACTCTAGAACATAGCCATACAGCTCAAAAAACCTACAACAACCCATTGAGTCTGGCCATGCCTTCTACAATACATTGCCTTTTAGTAGTCTGTTATTTTTGATTGGAAATAAATAGCAAATGCTTGGAGGCAGATGGGCAAACCAGTAGGCTGAATCCTGTCCATTGGTCGACCCCAGAATATCATAGAAGGGAAAAGATCTCCCCAGGAATATAGCTACAATGGATCTATATAAAGCAACTATTCCATCCATAAGGCTAATGTTGCTATTGCCTGCTGTTTTCTTGGCTTACTTCACCTATTTTACTTCACACTGTAAACTGTACACTATATCACACATTATGCAATATAAAATCAGACTGAATGAATGTCAGATCTGGAAGAATGTGTTTGCTAAAATGTGTAAACGTGGAGAAAGAAGAACTCAAGAACCCAAGAAGTATAAAGACTTCTACATGATGATTCCCAGATTTTGGTCTACTAAGTATTACAGAATTCAACTCTCAGAAACCTTTGGTAGCTTCACCAATAGTCAGGAATCTAAGGTCCAAGGCTGGATCTACACTGCCATATAATCCAGTTTATCAAAGCAGATAATCAAGATTATCTATTTTGAACTGGATTATATGAGTCTACACTGCCATAAATCTAGTTGAAATCAGATAATGTCAGTGTAGATGGGGCCCCAAACACCCAGATATATTTTAAAGTGTGATTACACAAAAATCTATAAAAGAAACAAAAGCAACACCCCCCCCCCCAAGAAAATAAAGGGGGGGGAGAGAGAGAAAGGGGCAGAAGTATCTCTAATGTTATTAAGTGCCTTCAAGTCATTTCCAACTTATGGTGTCCTTAAGGTGACCTTGTCGTATGGTTTTCTGAGGCTAAGAGTATGTGACTTGCTCAAGTTCACACAGTGGGTTTTCATGGCTCAGTAGGATAAATATAAAGCATATTTTTCCTTTCATAAAGATTCAAGGGTTTCGATGAAACAAGTGAACTTCTGCCCCCCTCACCCCAGGATCCAAAGCTACTTTCAGCCCATTGGCCAATTTTTGTTCATTCATAGATCAGAAATTATCTTTGGAAAATGGGAAGTCACATTTCATTTGAGAATATATATATATATATATATATATATATATATATATATATATATATATAGGTTTGAATAATATTAGGACATGAATATTATTACTGTGTAAGAAAATTAATAACTCAATATCACTACCTATCTTCCTTTTAAAAAAGAGATAGAGAAAAACATACCGGCTACAGTTGAAACAGTATGATTCATTTGTAGACACATCTGTGATTTCTACTTTTTCTAGAAACCATCGACTTCCTGTGAAGGAAGGAGAGAAGTTAATATGTGCAACTCTGAATACAGAACAACCATGAAATAATTTTATTTATTTATTTACTGCATTTGTAGACCACCGTTCTCAGCCCTAGGGCGACTCACGGCGGTGTAATAATTCATTTTCCTTGTCATTGCAATGTACTAAAATTTCACATTATTACCACAAACAATATGGAAATTTGTGGTTTGTAAAATATTGCATTGGGCAATTTTCTTAAACACAATTTGTGAGTAATCAATTAAAAAAAAACCAAGAGCAAAATATCCTAATGACATGTTGTTTAAATTAGTTCAGACAGTTAGGACATTTTTAAGCCCCTTCCACACAGATCCAAAACTCATGATGAGTTTTGGAATAATCAGAGGCATCCAAACCATGCCTCAGGTTACTCCGAATTAAAAAGCACCTCAACAGATTCAGGCTTTACTGCAATTTCAGATCTGTTGTGGTGTTGGACCTGTAGGGATTGACTTTTGGAACCATCTTCTGCGATTCTGAAGGCAAATCCCCATTGCCATCCTGGTACTAATATTTATTTATTTATTTATTTATTTATGCCACTTTTCTCCTGCAAAGGGACCCAAAGTGGCTTCTAACATGTTAAAATAAAATGCAAAATTAACAACATCAAAGGGACCAATATAAAACATTATAAGCAATTATAAGAAAAACATCTAAAACAATATACATTATTGTGATGTCTTATCAAATCTTATTACACTTTGCTCCTCCCAATGAAGATTGAATCTTCTTGTCACTTCAGCCTGGATTTATTGGCTGAAGGCTTGTTTGAAGAGAAAACTTTTCAGCTGTTATTTGAATGATGGCAGGGAGAGTGCCATTTTGGTCTCCCTGGGGAGGGTATTCCAGAGCTCCGGCACGGCCACCGAGAAGCCCTCTCTCTCATTGTCACCAACCATATTTCAATTTGTTTGTCCTCATCCAGTCCATTACTGCTGATAGGCACCAGTTCAGAGTCTGGCCTGCTTCCTTGACTTTTGGTGGAAATGAGTAATAGAGTTGGGTATCATCTCTGTAGAGGTGGCACCGAACTCCAAAACTCCAGATGATCTCACCAAGTGGCTTCATGTAGATGTAAATAACATGGGGGAAAAGTACAGAGGCCTGTGGGACCCCACAGGACAATGGCCATGCGGTTGAGCAGGAATCCCCCAGTACCTATTCTGGGTCCTTCTCTCCAGGAAAAAAAATGGAGCCACTGCAAAACAGTGCCTCCAAATCCCATCCTGCCAGGCAGTCCAGAAGAATAACATGGTTGATGATATCAAAAGCAACTGAGATGTCCACAAGAACCAACAGGGACACACTCCCCATGTCTAGCTCTCTGCGTAGATCATCTACCAAGGTGACCAATGTAATCTCAGTCCCATAGCCAATCCTAAAACCAGTTTGAAATTGATCTAGTTAATTTGTTTCATCCAGGAATCCCTGGAGTTGCGAGGCCACCACATGCTCCAGGACCTTGCTCAAGAAGGGGAGGTTAGAATGGGAGGCATTTTCCATTTTGCTGGCAATCACTGGCAAAAGGGAACAAAATAGAGGGAGGAGGGTCATCTGAATGATGAGGTCCACAGTGTAGCTGCTTTTTAAAGAAAATGAACACCCTTTCCAATATTATTTAGAGCAGCCCCTTTCTACCTGAGAAATATTTATGTGACCCTGGATAGATATAGGTATATAAAATAGGCATAAAATCAAACATTTACTAATAATAAATAAGCATCTGCTAAACAGGATGATTTTCCTTTTTATGAAGTACATCACTAGGTAACATTCAGAAATCTTTTACTGTTGCCAAATCTTTCATGACCCAACGATTGAGCTAATTTGGGGTCAGGACCCATAGTTTAAGAAGCAGTTATTTAGACAGCTATAATATGTGACAACATAAAAATGGTTTTAGTTTATCATCTTTATATTCCATTATGAATCAAAGGATCTCAAAGAAACATATGTGAATTTTTCCTGCTTTGATCCTTGTCTGTTTGAGGTGGGTTAGGATGAGAAAACGTGACCAATCAAGGTCACACAATGAACTTTATGGCTAAAGAGGAATTTAAAATTGGATTTCATGGACCTTGGTCCATCAGTCCACGTGGCACTCCAGATTTCCACATTCTTCAAAACACTGTGAAAATGTCATACAGAACACAATATTCAACATAATGGGAACATGCAAATGACACATATCCATGCTTACCAAATCCTTTCCTGTCGTGCCCAATTTCAATCTCCCGCAGCCTTCCAACTTTCTTTGTCTTAATTTTGAATGTGTCCAACTTTTGAATAAAATGAGAAAAATAAAAGATAAAAATGTAATAGATTTTTGGGAACAGGTATGCTCTCTTTGTTCTGTTTTGGGCAGGACTGAATTTAGTTGTGCAGAAAAATAATGAAATCGTTGACCTGAGAGCTTGGAAAACTTACCATTTGGGGGGACACTTCTCAGAATCTTACACCAGCCTTGGTTGCTTGGACATTCTGGCTCTGAAATTAGTTTAGTCTACCCCATCTCCCAAAATTTTCAGACCTGTGCTTATTAATAGAATTTACAAATGCAGCACTGTTCTATTTTCAATCTTTCATTTATTTACTAATAATATCAACAATGCCAAATTGTCATGTTATCCAGCACATACAGGACACCACCCCATGCCATACACTTAAGACATTACATACTCCAGTCTGCCAGAACCTGACTGGCAACCATCACCCAGAGAACTTTTCATCAGCTGCCCCATGACCTGCTGGAAGAGAATCAACAGCTAATCAGCTGTCAGAATTTGAGATGCAATTGCAGACCCAACTCATCTGACAGGCCTACCCAGTCTATTTTACGTTGTGAATTTTAATCTGCATTTCATTAGTGGATTTTAACTTGTATTTGAACTCTGTGTATCTTGTTGCATGTCTTTTAATAGTGTTTTATCTCTTGTTTTAATTATGTTGTATCCTACCTCGGAGGAGATATTATTATTATTATTATTATTATTATTATTATTATTATTATTAGCTAGTTTAGCTTGTATGAATATTATATCTTTAGCTTATTTAGCTTTGAACTCTTTTTAAAATATCCCTAATTATTGTCAAATGTTATTCTCATGTGCTTTACAATTTATTTAAAATATTATTTAATTGCCAGTTGACAGCAATATATTGTGTATTTTATTAATAAACTTCCATATTCTTAGTTTTGACCATATAATTTTTTTCCATCACGGCAAGTAATATATCCAGCAGTTGAAGACAACTATGTGGACTAGGATTAGGTGGATATTGTTACTTCCATTACGAAAACGATTCAGTGCTTTAATGTTATTTACAATCAGTGTGCACCAAAATAAAAGTTCAGCTTGCTTTGCTTTCTTATTTGTGGAAATTGCTTTGCTTAGAGTTTTTATCATAGGTCGAGCATCCCATATTTGGACTTCTGAAACCCAAAACACTTTAATTGTCCAGATGGGTAGCTTTGTGATGGTTCAATGTACCAAAAACTTTGTTTTATGCATAAATTATTAAATGCATGAGTTGTGCATAAAATTGCCTTCATACTGTGTGTACATGTTACATAGGTACATTAATGACTTTTTTTGTTTAGACTTGGGTCCCATCTACATGATATTTCATGATGTATATGCAGATATATCAGAATTTGAAGAAATCCAAAATATGGAATACTTTTGGTTCCAAACATTTTGAATTAAGGGATAGTCAATCTATATTTGTTTTGATGACTGTAAGGACTATCCTACACATTAAGTGGCAACAAAGGCAGGTTTGTTTCAGAGTATACATACAGTAGGAAGTTAATGTACAAACTGAAGAGAAACATTTGCAAAAAAAATATTTCATTTATACACATACTTTAAAAAGTTATAATGTGCTAGGTGACCATAATGCAAAAAAAAAAAAAAGAATAGAAAAATTAGGACTGTGGTGCTCACCTTTCCTCGTTCAAAGGGATCTCGATGATCTAGAGATTTGCTTAGTTGAATTAATGGAGATGTATCCAGGTCTCCAAACAGAATTATGTGAACATTTGCATCTGTCCCTGCTCCTCTCTTGTCACCCGTGTACACCTTAATAGTATATTCAGTGAGATTTTCCAGTTCATCTTTCTTCTGAATCAATGATACTGAGATTTCTTTTTTGATTTTGGGTTTGTTAGCATCCAAAAGGAATGTTCTTTAAAAACAAAACCAGATAGTGATGTTTAGAATTCAACATGCTCTCTAACAATGAAAAAGAATTACAGATCGTTTCTTTGTTTACTGTTTTGTAAGTTGGCCAAAAGCCTGAGATTCTCTGAGATGCTTACAACAAAACAGAAACATCTGAATTACAAGAAAACACACACACACACAGATTACCATAAAGCATAACTAAACATGAAAAAAGTGGGGGGGGGGGAATAAAAATAGTAACTCAGTATTTCAAGAAATATATTTTATAAATATTCACAGTGAGTTGTTGGGTAATATGCCATGTCTCATAAAACTTCTTCACCATTAGAATGATTCATTTTTGTATATATATTACTCACTCATTCACTTCAAATATGTAGACAGGCTCTTTTTCTGGGGCTTTCTTTATGTGCAGGGCTTTAATTCCTAGTTTGCAGGCTAAAATAATGAAAATATTTCATTTTACACAAGGGTCAATCTGAATCCATCCAAACAAATTATATAAAATTATATTATACATTCATAGATGGATTAGATGGCATTCATAGTCTTAACACATTTTATTTAATAATACCAGTTGCCATGTCCTCGACCATAGAAAATTATGATAACCATATCTAAGAAATGAGCTGATGTGGTCTATCCAATGTAGTTTTTTTGAATCAGTGTCCCCAAATAACCCCAGGAAAAGGCTAGGAAATTCAATTCACCAAGAATTTGTTTCCTTGGGCTGTGTTATCAATTATGGGTAGGATGCATGCTTTGAATGTGGAGGTTTCTGGCTTTGGCATGTTCCCTGAAAAGGGCATTACATAGCAGGTAATCAGAAAGACACGGCTCCTGGTACACCGGAAAGCCATAGACAGTCCAAGAAACCAAGCTAGATGGATAAACTGGATAAGGTAGATTTCTGTGTTTCCGTGGCTAGCTTCAGAAGTGCCAAGGGAAGTGACATTATGCTCCTATTATGTTCAAGGCTCAGTGGATCAGTCTAATTGTACATGAAACGAGAAAAGTTGAGAAAAATATATTGCTCAGGTAGGCTTCGGTAAACAGTAAAGCTGTAGCTTAACAATACAAAGACTGAATTTTCATTTTATCAAACTACCATTTTATCCTGAATGCACCTTGGTTTTTTTTTGTTTTGTTTATTTTAAAGATTTTTATTAGGATCTAACAAGTAGAATATAACATAACCATATTTCCTCCTGAGGGAGTTTAGAAGATAACATAGGTGACGTATACAGTATATATATATTTACAATTTAACAAAAAAGAGAAAATATTTAATAAGTAATCACCCTTACCCCCACTTGTATATATCCCTTTTCCACTGTTTCTTCCCTCCCTCTCTCATTCACCCCCTCCCTCCAGGAACAGTCATGCATTTCCTTTAACGTCTATTCTGTTTGTTGGATCGTAAGATAGTCTGGTCCAATTCCTTAGATTTTCTGTTTCCTGAATTCACCTTGTTTAAAGTGCCCAAGGTATCTACAGAACTCTCATTCACATAAATATGTTTAACATCATAGTGTAAAAAACCAACTAGGGAGTTCTCAAACTGTGCTCTGTGGAGCCCCCCACTATGAGTGATAGTGGGGGGCTCTACAGTGCAATGCTACTTCCTGCCTTCTGCTCCTCCTCCTGAGAAATGCAGGGAAATGAAAGTTTGGAGCTGCCAGAATTGCGGCAGCAGTGTTCTCCTGGGACATAGATTCTTAATCCTCTGCCTCCTTCACTGCCCAGACTCTTTCCCTTACCACTCTAACCCTTCCCCTCCCCCTGCCTTCTTGGCTTCCAAAACCCTATTTCCCTCCCACCGCTCGGGGTGTGTGTGTGCTTTAATTGTGCTTTTCCTGCATGGCAGAAGAGAGTTGAACTAGATGGCTCCTAGGATCTCCACTGTTGTTGTTGTTGTTGCTATTATTATTATTATTACAAAGGCTAGGTAGCTTTGATTGTGCTTTTCCCACATGGCAGAAAGGAGTTGGACTAGATGGCCCTTGGGATTGCTCCTATTACCGTTACTACTACTACTACTACTACTATTACTACTATTGCAGAAGCTGGATTGCAATCTGACAGTTGCACTTTGTGCTTTTCCTGTATGGCATAACAGTGTTGACTGGATAGTCCTGGGGTTGCTCCTGCTGTTGTTGTCGTCGTCGTCATCGAACTTGGTCTGATGGAGTTCCAATGTAATTTGTTTTATTATGTTACATTTAGTGTATTTTATGATGCTCCTATTTTACTGTGTTTTGTTTTATAGATTGCTTTTGCTTCTATGTCATGTGGATGTTTTGTCCCATATGTAAGCTGCCCCGAGTCCCTTCGGGGAGATGGTGGCAGGGTGTGAGAAATAATAATAATAATAATAATAATAATAATAATAATAATAATTATTATTATTATTATTACAAAGGCTGGATGGCTATCTGTTGGGGTGTGTGTGTGCTTTGATTGTGCTTTTATTGCATGGTAGAAGGGGCATGGACTGGATGGCTTCTGGGTCTTCTACTGAAATACTGTTGAAGTTTATGTTGATTGAAATTGTTCTTCATTTTAAATATTGTATTGTTCTTTCTTTTTTTTTGAACTACAAACGATATATGTGCAGTGTGCATATGTTTTTTCAATTAGTTCACATAAACATTTTCCATCCATCTGCCACTGGCCTGGATCATCTGTCAAATTTTAAAATGTAATGAGGCCCCTGTGTCCAAAAGTTTGCTCATGCCTGATATAGATACATTATATATGATATATAATATAATGTATAGACACATTTATTGGGGCTCCACGAAAAACTTTTGCTTCAAAAATGAGTCCGCAGCTGAAAAAGTTTGAGAACTCCTGCTATACATATGATTTTATGTAAATATTTAATATAAAATCAATTCCTTGTCCAAAACAGTACACATGCATTGAATTAGCTGCTGAATAGTAGATCTAGATGATGGTGATGATGATAATGATAATGATAATGATGATGATGATGACCTTTGCATCTTATCTTGTCTGTTCCCCAAAACCAGGACTCTAGGAGGCTTCTGATTCAAGTTGCTGATTGGATTTAGGTTGGATGCTGAAATATATTTAGCCCAATATACTTACATCTCAGCGTAAAAGAAACTTACATGATTCAGTACTGATAAGAAGTATGACTTTGTTCAGTTCTTCCAGATCCACAGCATGAATCTGACCTGTAAACAACTAAAACATTTCCATTGGTATTAAGTTAAATGAACTGCTTTAGTGGTTTACCTCCTCACATCCCCTACAACTGAAAAGAAAATAATTACCTCATTGTCATTGTCTTTGTGAGATTGTGAAGATGATTCTAATGAAAGTGTTCGATCTTCAGTGTCTCCATTAGTTCCATATATAGACAGAGACATATGTACTGAGTTTATTTTGCTCAAATCATTTTTAGATAATAGTTCCACATTATACGTAACCACTGTAAAATAAAACAAGTCAGTCAGCCTAAATACAACAACTGTTTCATAACATAAGTTTTCACAAATTGGGTTTTTGTTGTTTCCTTTGTTGTTGTGTGCCCTCAAGTCATTTCCACCTTAAAGTGAACCAGATCTGTTGAAGGTAGTTGGTCTTTGCCTTCCTCTGAGATTGAGAGAATGTAACTTGACCAAGGTCACCATTTCCATGGCTCTGTAAGGATTCTACAGCTGTATTTCAATGATCAAACTAGTATATCACAAAATGTATACCAATTTAGAAAGACAGTTCATAAACAGTTCCTTTTTAAAATGCTTTATGACATTTGCCATGCCCCACTATGCATATAAGAAGCTGTACCATAATGTGTATGAACTCTTTATGAGTCAGGACTTTAAGGATTAATTCCAATGAGATGCTAATAGACCAAACCTCCCCCTTCCCCAAACATTCTATTGGCATAATTTTAAGGGAATTTTACAACTGCACAGTAACATACACACGTGGTCACTATTACACAACTGACTAATCATTGCATTTCTACCATATGCTGACCTCTGGTTTCTGCTAAAGCAAATATGTGTGAAATCTGTATCAGTTCGTGTAGAAGCTTGCTTAAACAACTGACATGGATCCACAATTTCTGGGAGCAAAATCCTGCTTCTGGGGCATTTCCAAGTAAAAAGGCAAAGTCAATTTTACTGATACCTAATTGTACCTTGAAATTATCTCCAAGACCTGGAGGAGTTTGTGAAATGTTTTTGGGAGTAAGGATCTGTACCATTATCCATAGACTCAGTAGCCATGTCTTCTCTTACCCATGTTTCTAAATGTATTCCCTTTCAGGAGTGTCTATGGGCCTTTTGGGGTCTTCCCATGTTATTCTATAGGATGCTTCCAGTCCAAGTTTAATCAAAACAAGATTTTGCTATGATCCACATTTTATTTATTTATTTATTTATTATTTGAACTTATATGCCGCCACTCCCCTGGGGCTCAGAGCGGCTTACAAGAACAGGATAAAATTGAACACAATTTAAAAACAATTTAAAACAATTTAAAACAATTTTAAAACAGCAATCAAAGATCAAAGGCCCGTCGAAACAGATATGTCTTACATGCCCTGCGGAAAGCTGGTAAGTCCCGCAGGTATCCAGGTATCCACAGTAAATGCAAGAGATCACATTGTAGTATGCTTTTTGGAGTAGCTGCAGAGCCACAGCACATCTTATTCTGACCCCACCCCCCAATCATTAAACAGCCATTCAATTCCTTCACCTTATGCCCTAAGTCAAATAAATGCATTCAGATTGTCTCATATAATCTCATTCTTGTCAGGAAAAGTGACCTTCACATCAGTCTAGCCAAACTACTGTCTCTACTAAGCCAAACTGACTCTTTGGTGTTAGTAATAATACATTAAATGGCTTTTTGGGAATACAGATCTTTGCCAACATCTGGACAATATTTTTGCTGTCTGAAAGAATTGAACACCAGATGGCTGATTGGCTTATGGAGTTAGGAGTTCAAATATGTTGCAGGGATAAGAGACATAACTGTAAGAGTACCAGGCAAATTCACAAACAATCATTACAAAGAGTTTAAGCTGATTTGGTCCAAGTGACCTCTGTGAAACTGAATTAGCCTTAAAACAAGCATTCTAACTATACTAGATTGTGTGCCAATTTTTAACATTAAGGATTTAGACTCACTAATGATAAATAGAGAGGATGTTCTATTTAAGCATTTCTTGGGTGATCATGATGAAAAGTTACATATATTTAAGTGAATACTCTGCATCATTACTAGCTGATGTATATGAAATATTTTGCTTCTAGCTCATAGCGTAAATTGGTAAAATGTTCAATTCAATAGTGATTATTTTAAAATATGCAGTTTTATTACTGCAACATAAGTATCAACTGTTCGTATTATTTTGAAACCCCCCTCCAATTCTGGGAGGAAAACAATCACAATTAAAACATGACGCATTCCATATATATTCCCTATGCAAAATAGTTGTGGTACATTTATACAGAACAAGCATTTTTTACCTACAAAAATTTCCAGAATGTGATTCATATCTATTTCTGCTCCTGCTGTGGTATAGTGTATGTTCAGTACAGCCATACTTCAGTCAGCACAGTTGATATGTTTCTGGACATTACTTCTTCAAACAGAAACTTTGGTATCAGAGGCAGAAATAATATCTGAATCACACATGCCTTTTCCACTCATCCTTGAGTCCTAAACACATGGAAGTTGAACATAGAAATCCCAATTCTGGATTCATAAATGGCATCTTTACACATGGCATAGAGGTAGGAGTCTGCATGAAGTTCTCTGACTTATGGTTTATTGTTACTTGCAGTGAATGTAGAAATGGATGGAAAGGAATGTTCTCATTATCAGTAAGCAAGGCTATCATATTGTTACAGTAATATAGGGCTGATCTACACTGACCTGTTATCCTAGGACTGATCCAGCATGGCATATACCAGTTTGGCTCCAAGATTATTTACACATCCACCTGCTTCAGAGACAGGAGGGAGTCCTAATTGGCAAGCAGTGCCAAGCCTGGTTCAACACTGCCAGATGGCTGCCCTTACTATCCTCTCCTGTTCTCTGTGCCACAGTGAACTCCAAGTATGTTATGGGCCTTACAGATCAGCCATCGCCTACAATGGCATTGGCTGGAGTGCCAGAGTGATGGCCCCATTGCCAAGACTGACACCACTGCAAGTTATGGTTGACCTGCAGAACCTATGCTGTCATGTGTAAAGACCGCTGTGAATGGGTGGAGAATGGGCGGAGACAGTAAGCGCCATCCCATGTACTTAGGTCACCTGAGCATGGAAAACACAGGATAGCAGTGTAAACAGTTGCATCTTGGAACCAGCCCAACTGTTTCCATGGTGTCCAAAATCATGGGTTGCTCTGAATTCTATACCAGAATTATGCCAATTATGCAAATTTTGCTGATTATGCAAATCAGTAAAATATTTACTTAATATGCAATTATTTTAATTCTTTCCATATGCAAATTCAATATTGCAACATACCAGTTTGAATTTACTCATTCAAGATTGTGGTTCTACAGTAGTCGTTCTCAATCTGTGGGTTCCCAGGTGTTTTGGCCTACAACTCCTAGACATCTCAGCCAGTTTATCAGCTATTGTTGAGACTCAGCGTCTGTCTCATGCACCTACTACTAGTAGTAGAAGGAAACGTAGGTTAGAGAATGATGAAGCTCAGCAGCAGCTGAAAAGGATAAGAGACTTGTTTCTAGAGACGACAGATGAGGAGGATTTTGTGGGTTTTACTCGCGAGGAAATGGAGCTGGAAGATTACAGAGG